GAAATAAGCTTTTTGATTGATTGAATAATAAAAAACCTAAATCACCTTCATACTGCTGCACCAAATGCTAGTTTTAAACCTATTTGCTTCAGCTGAATACTTAAAATAATCTAAGTTAAAGCCATTATTTGTTAACTAATGTTGACAAGCTCTCTTGATTTAAGAAATGGAGATGGTTACATAGACTTGGATGAGTTGAAAGGCATGCTGGAGTCCACCGGAGAGCCCATCACTGAAGACGACATCGAGGAGCTGATGAAAGATGGAGACAAAAACAACGATGGCAAAATAGACTATGATGGTATGGCAACTACACATAATGATGCAAAACAATAGATTATCACCCTAAACTTGTGTTTCTTTTACATCTTTAGACAGGAGCAGCCATTTCTTAGCTGAACAGTGATCATCTTTCAAACAACAAATTGAGTAATGTGTTGAAATGTCCTGGTAAACACTAAGGGCCACAGAGCAAAAAAAATGCTTTTCCTGAATTCTGAGTTCAGGGCCCATATTTATCAAATTTCTTAGATTTACTCTTAAGAATGATGCTAAGAATGGACTTAAGAGTAAATAATTTTTTTAGTTAAAAGCTGAGAGTAAAAGTCGGTGATCAGGAGTCTCAGTCTTACTTGATTTGATTTGATTTTATTTATTTATTTAACAGGAAATTACTAAAAATCNCCATGAAATGTCTGACTTTAAGTGAAGTGTAGGAGTAATTCTTCAGTGTCAGTCTTAGAGCTGATTTGCGACACTTGGCTGTGCGGTTAGGTTACAGTTAGGAAGAACCACCTTCTTTTGGTTGTGATCATACTGTGTTGCTAATGACTTGAACAGATATAAACCTGAGTAAATGATCCCTACTTAAACATAAAGTGTACAAGCTTATTATAAAGTGCTTGAACCTCTGAAGCATGTACGTTCCATTAGTGGAACTTCTGCAGAACATCTGCACAGCGTGTTGGAGGAAATTGTGACAGTGGCAGCAGTCACACTGACGCACAGCATCAACCTGTGAACAGATCTACAACACACTGATGGGAGTCAGGAGTAATTTTAGGAAAACTTACCAACAGCTTCGWGCTTTGAGATGCCAGTGCAGAGTTTAGAACATGCTCAAAAKTTTCACCGTATGTGGAACTGTYACTGCTCAGTTTTMCACRTGTTCCAGGTCTGTTAAATCTATGTAACACATGTTACATGTTGCTCATGCGTGGACATTTGTCAGGAAGAAGCTGGGTAATTATGAATTAGACACATAACTTCTATCCAAATGTGTGGGTGTGTCCCTCGATGATTGACCTGTCAACATATCAGGGAAGATGTCCGAGAGTGGAGCTCATAACAAACTATATACTGTATTTGTGAAACTTAGTTTAAAAAAGTGGAGTAAATTTCCCACCTCTTCCAGTCCTACTTTCCTGCTGCAGACGCTGCTCACATTTTKTCTTCCCTCATGGCCGACAGTTCAGATCCCCTCGCGCCGAGGGGATCTGGCTTTTTTTTTTTTTTTGTGAAAATTATGGATTTTTGAGGGTTAAGATACAGATACAGGGGTTGGTACAAATGGTATGAAAATGTTTTTAATGCCAAAATACCCTAAATGTTTCTACTATAGGTATAAAGATCAGTTTTTATCCCCCTGTTTTTCATTAACTGTCTATTAAAAAGACCAGTTCTCATGAGACAGTGTCCTCTAAAAGTGTCCTGGTTCTGGTCAGGTGTAAACTGAAGTTAGATTAATGATAGGGCTAAGAAGAAACTGGAATGGGTTTGTTTCATGKGTCTGATTAAACTAACCTGTGGTCCAGTGATGTAAATGTATTGTTTGTTGTTTCTCACAGAGTTTCTGGAGTTCATGAAAGGTGTTGAATGAATTCCACTGGAGGGTTTCACTTTGCAATGCCACCAAAGTCCATTCCTGAAGAAATGTCTCCACCATTTTTGTACAAGTACCTTCATTTCTGATAATTATGAACAAGATGTTATGTGAATAAACTGAATATGAATAAAGGTACTTCTAA